TATATTCCTCTGCGGTATAAGTATACACTGGCGGTTCCACGTTGTATTGCGCAAATCGGTAGCCTGTGCTCAGGTAATGGCATATCAGCGGTCAGATGTGAATCGGGTTATATCAAGTATCTCACTAGCATCTTTAACGTTGTCGCTCTCCCAGTGCGAGAGACGCAGCGAGTCTGCGCGTGCAGGATTAGAGAAGGACTTCCACTCCCTAAGAAGACTCTTGAATACGTAAAATACGCGAGTGCCGAAGTTTAAGCAACATACCACTTGACCTTCCCCTTTCCAAATACAGGTTTCTGCTTGAACTTCGGGCGGGTGAACTGAGGAACGAGAGTGGGCGCTTTGTCTCCAATGAGCGAATACAGCTCCCGCGAGATTCCCTCAGGTTTTCGTGATGTGCCGGGGACAAGTTTCTTGGGTTGGGACGGTCCAGAGGAAGGGTGAGGAAGCGAGAGGATATCGCGGACGTCTGAAGCTGAGGCCATGTGTCGCGGGGAAATGATGTTGGCGGTGAGTTCGCAACTCGTGGTGAAGCCAACGGCTCGATTGCACAGCAAATATTATGTAACACTATACTCACCACCAGGACCTCCCAGCGGACTACGGTAGACATTGGCCAACAGTATGAGTACATGCGATTTTGAGTTAAACTAGATCGATAAAATCTGATAATAATGCGCGGGATAGCATCTAGTTCACGCGGGAGCTCCATGATAATCAAGATATGAGGTGATTTCATGTTTCATTTTTACAGACGTTTTCTCTCGTCGGATATTTACCGGGGGAGTGACCGTTTTCGTAGCTACATAACCCTTTTTCATGCTCTAAAACCATCCGGCCACCCTGAGCGCCGCGTTGAGCATAGATGATATCATTAGAATCCTTTGCTGTAGCATTGCCATACAGCGTCCAGTCATGGCGGAATACTCAGATGCTACGCGGACGCGGGGAAGAGTTTTAGATGGCAAACATATCTGATTAGAAAGTGGACGCATGAGAGTAGACGTAGGTATGTAGCTATCTGTTTAGAGGTTTGGCACGATAGGTAACAAGTTTGGTCGTGGGTAGATTGTACACTTATATAGCCTTGTGATAATGCCACGATACAGGAACAGTAGTAGAAAATGAGATATAGCAGTAAATGGTGGAATGAAACGCACGTCTTTCACAGATGCTCATTACGTCTCTGTTCCACCCGCCGCCCCTTCGCCATCACCGTTGTTGCCACTGTTATTGTTGTTACTGCCCCTACCAAACAACACAGATGCATACTGCTCGGCACGGCTCCTAAACGCAGACCGTTGGACCCGAGCTCGTCCTCGCGCTACCTCGGGATCCGCGTTGCTGGACATGGTCCCCCCCAGTGCCGCTTGCACAGACTGCTCCAGCTCGCGATCGAGGTCTCGGTCATCAACAACGCCGATAGTGGCGCCAGAGGATGGCGTAGCGCTGCGATGCTGGGCGTGGGACTGTGCATACTGCTGGGCCAGTGTACGGTCTGCGGGAGGAGGTGCAGACGCAGAGTCCAGGCGAGATATATGGGTATGGCTGCCGCCATCCCCGTTCGTAACCACGCCTTCTTCATTCCGCCCGTCACCTCTCCGGCGAATTCTCCTGTTCGAGTTAGAAACGGTCGTGGGACCGGGCCCGGCCATAGAGGGGTCCTCGGGCGTCATCGTACCGCTTGCGGGGGTGAGCGCAGCCCTCACAAGGGAGCGCGAAGTCCCGTTTCGGCGTTCGGTCTGCTGCAGTGCATGTATTGTGCTGTCCCGCGGGGTGGCAGGCTCAGAGGATGCCAAATGCGTCGCGGAGAGCAAACGATCAGGATTTGTGGTGAATGTTTGGGAGCCTCCGCTCCTATGCCGATGGGCTCGAATATCCGACGGAAGGTTGATATTCGGTTGGGAAAGGAATGCGAGCCCAAGACCATTGGACCCATTCGTGGTCGATGACTGGCCATTGGAAAGGTGGGTCGGGTAGAACGGCCGGGTGTCTTCGGGCCACGCCCCTGGAACAACGGGCGGCGGACCGATGGTGGCCGTGTCATCATCAGAGTCGTTCTCGGACATGCGATCAGACATTCGATCGGCCATGCTGGCGAGGGTTTGGAGATATTTTCGTAAATCAGTGATGCCCTTGCCCGAATACACGCAAAAGGCAGCGCGTTGGTTGGCATTGAATTCCTATTCAAACGCAAGAGTTGAATATGAGCAACATAACTTGATCATCAAAGCGAACCTTTGGCGGCGCCCTGCAGAACGTTTGCAATTCCTTTCTCCTGAATGCAGGAATACCGGTCAAACTGAGATGGGTCATCCGGGGTAGCTTCTGGAGGAGATGGTGGATCGCGGATACAGTAATGCTTTCGCAATACGAAAGATGTATGCGTTCGAGGGAGTGATGGCGCTCCGCAAGCGCAAATACACCCTGGTCGGTGAGGTTTGTAACACGGACAAGCCCAATGCGGCGAAGCTTGCTCAATGCTGAGATCTCGTGGACAGAAAGATCTGTCAAGTTTATGCAGGCAGCGAGATCAATGTAGCGTAGCCGAACGCAAGACCGGGCGAGCGCAGTAACTCCGCGGTCTGTGATACTACAAGGCAAGGTCACTATCCCGCTCGAGGTCAATATACTCGATCTTACTTACTTCGACACATGACCCAAGTGGAGGTAATGTAAGTTTCGGCCCAGCTTGCTTATACTGAAAAGAGCGTTGTCTGTAAGACTGGAGCATCTCGCCAGTACCAAGTGTCTGATTTTGAGCGTATTGGATATAATGCCGTCAATAGCGTCGTCGGTGAGGTGCATGCATGAGGTAAGATCTAACAGGCGGAGATGGTCGAAAGGTTTGGGGAGGATGAGAGGAGGAAGCTCCAGAGTCGGTGACGACGATGTAGAGTTGTAGGGAAAAGGGTTGACGACATCGGACACGCCGGAAGGCGCGAGCGGGGGGACGGGGAACGCAGCGTCGGTAAGCGATACGAGACCCGAGAGGCGGAACTCTCGTAGGTGGTATGAGCGTTCCCAAAGGTCCCTTATAGGTCGATCTGTGACCCGAGGACATTGGTTCAGGTCCACCTCAAGGAGCAAAGGACAATTCAACGCGAGGACGCGGATGGGCTCGTCAGTGATGGCTTCAATACCATATAGCTTAATCCGACGGAGGTGGGGGCAATTTTCGGCAAGGGCGAGGACAGCAGCATCCGTGATCTCCTTGCAATTCCCCAGGTTGATGCCCTGCAACTTCGGAGACGAAAGAGCAAGGTCGATAATGGATTTATCGGTGACTTGGCAAACGTTTGTGAGATCGATAGTAACGAGGCTAGGGCATGAAGTGACGACCTTGGATATGCTCTCGTCGGATAGGAGGGTACAGCCAACGAGCGTGAGGCGTTCCAAGCGTTCGCAGGTGGCGATACGGACAAAGAGCTGGTCCGTGAGGTCCTGCGCGAGCTCGACGAAGTTGAGTCTTCGAATGAAAGTGGCATAGTTGAAAATCTGATCGGAACGACTAATAACGTGGAGCATCTTGAATAACGACGCGAGTTTGCTGAACTGGGGCTTGTGCCATAGGAGCTCGACGCTGCACTGACACCACGCTCGGCATACGAGGAGCGAGTTGTGCAGGTCGCTCGTGGAGACCAGGTGCTTGAAGACGTGGATTAGAATTTCGTGGGGGAGGGTATTGGCAACAGAGCGATGTGGCGCGCGGTCCGAGAGGGACAAAAAGCTGAGCTGGTTGTCCCACTGAGATTGGGCGGGCGTGTGGGGCTGAGGTTGGGCAATGACCGTCGCATCCCGGTCAAGAAAATAAGAGGTGGATTGCTCGAGCTCGAACTCCTCAGCCTCATCTTCCGAATCGGACGTGTTGGAAGGAGCTGGGGAAGGATAGCGGGCCATGTTGGCTGGGTCGATGGGCGCGAGGAGTGGCAGGGGAGAGATGGAGGTTGGTCCCTGGAGGGCGTGCGTGTCGTTGGGGTCGATGGCTGGGAAGAGCAAGTCGCAACCAACGTTCGCACAGGCTCGGAGCCAAACAGCTCAGCACAGCTGCGAACTCACCCCCTCAAACAGCGGTAACGAGGGATTCTAGGTACCTTGCCGGGTCTGTATTCTGCTGCAGAGGTATAGGCTGGCATTAAAGTGGAATCGGAAACCTAAAGACATGAACGATCTATGTACTGATGATTGACAGCAAAGCAGGTACAGCAAAGCAATATTCAAGCCCCTCGCTCGTGAACACCCTTTTCCAGGGGACTGGGCTGTATACTCCGACGGTTTGAGTCTGTTGCATCCATGTAGCTCTCTGCCTCTGTGTTTTGCAGCGAAAACGGCGAGATCGTGCCCGGCGTTGAGAGTACGGAGTGAAGCGATTGGGTCATAGGGCCGAGTCTGACGGATGTGTGGGGTGACGGGAATGCGGACGTGTTAGGAGATGGAGAGACGGTGGCCAACTCTGCTGCAGAGGCTGCCTCTGCGAGAGCCCATGTTCCATCCCTCACCCATCCAGCACGAAGGATTTTGATCTGCAGGCATCGGTCAAGATTGGGCGGGCGAGATGGGAAAGTTAGCAACCTTACCGCCCACGCGAGCCCCAAGCTTCTCCTCAGTCTCGTCCCACCCACGAGACTACGATGGACTTTGTATAGGTATTCATTCCAAAGTTCCTCGTCCTCTTCCGCACCAGGCCGCCCTAGCATCGCCTCAAGGCGTGCAAGCGATGAGGATGGCAAGATACCATTCCGCCTCGGCACCTCTCGGCTTGAAGACGGGGCTAGCCATTGGGCGCGACGATATTCGTAGTACGCGGGGCCTGGCGGGGGTGGGGAAGAGAGCCGCCTCGTTGATGATGTGGAAGGATCCATGTCGGTGGAAAGAAATCATCGACGCGAAGTCGCGAACCCCTTGTTCGCATCCTAAGTAAGTCCCAGATAAGATTATGATTATCATATGCCGCTATGTGCGAGCGAATGTGGAAGCTCGTTGCAGCTCGACCTTTGGAGGGGCATGTAGCGCAGTGGTAGCGCGTCCGCTTTGCATTGGAATTACATGCGTGCGGAAGGACCAGGGTTCAATCCCCTGCTTGTCCATTTACTTTTTTCCTGCGCCTGGGGTACATACCGTACTTACTCTGGTCCTTGAGCGTTGTACCTCCTCGAGATTTCGTTTTACAACAAGTACATCTTTGCAGGTCCGAACCCCGAGTCCGACTCGAAATTCAACTTTATGTAAGGCACTCAGGCCCGAAGTTACCCGCAGCCACCCGCAACCTTAAGATCATAACATAATGGAAGTTAGCCACCATCACCGAGAGTTTCTCTTTCTCCACGTCTGCGCAGAAACAAGGCACGGCGTCCCGTTGCAACCGACGTGCGGAAAAAAAAAGGGCAACATAAAAAGAGCCCGACCCAGTGGCAAGAATGCGGGTGTGTCGGTACCGATTCATGATGACTAAGCGACCATAGTTCCATACTCCGCCTCCGTTGATGTGGATATTCGTCCGCGCGTAAAAGACGCGACGCGTGCCCTTTCGCACGCGCTGCGAAGTGGTGGCGCAGCAGGTTTTGATCGATGTCGGCACGCGGCTGCGATCGCTTGCGCTTGTCGGGAGCCCGCAGGGAAGATGGTCTCGGGAGCTGAAGCGCTCAAGATCAGGTCCCGAGGAAAATTGGCACCACGGGCCCCGCCCTTTAGCAACAAGGGACATACAATTAGAACCCCGAACGAACGTCAGATGAAAAGCATTGCAAGAAATAACTGAGGTTACAATACAGTAGTGGCAAAGCGATCGTCGAACGAGAGGGGTGGGTGAATGGGTGAATAGGTGAGGGCGCGCGAGAGGTGGTGCGAAATGAGCGCGTGAAAGGGGGGTATCTAATGGTGTGTAGGAGTACAAAATGACGTGTGCGGCACGAGAATAGCGTATATATGCGTAGAAAAAGCGTGAGTTCGGGTAGCAGAATATTAAAAAAGAACAACCCTTGGGATGAGGACGTGTTTGAGACAAAGGATGTTGGTTGGAACAAATAAATTCAGCAAGGACAAGAGAGAAGGTGTAGCGCTATAGATACCATCGGCGGTGAGTCGGGATTCGCGAAAGCGACACAAAGCACTCACTGTATGAGGGAGTGGCGCATATATGCATCATATGGTGGTCTTGACAAGCGACCAGTTTTGAATGAGTGTAAGAATGCGTCCCTGGAGGAGGTCACGGCACGGGCGGCATTGAAGATGCTCGACGAGCGGGGTGAGACTGGCTGAGAGCGATGCGGGCGACGCGTCCGGTCTGCCGTCCCAGGCGAGGTAGGCGGTGGCGAGCGCCCACGCCCGCGTGAGCTTTTTTTGTTCGGTAAAGTCGCAGTCCGGGGTGCTCTCGTGCATGTCAGGCGGGCTCATGAGATGCAGCTTGAGCGCCTCGACGCGGCCCAGATGAAGAAAGAATAGACGGCGGAGATAGTGGGGGCCCATCTGAGCCGCAAGAGCGTCGGTGACACTGCTGAGAGAGGTGACCAGGGTAAAGTGGCTCGCGGCGACGGCAAGAGCCTCAAGCGATGCAGAGGCTGCCAGAGCATACACGCGCAGGGGATCCCCTGGCGCGTGGAAGATCATAACTTGAGAGAAGTCCGGATGGGGTGGGATCATGGACTGAGCAGAATAGCCGTATACCTTCAGAGCGGGGAAGACGGCAGAGATAGTGTCCAGGGACGGATTGTAGCGATCGCAGGGGACAGAATAGACGAGGTGGAGGAGGATGTTGAGCACAGCGGATTGCAGGGGCAGGTCGAGCATGGTGGGGGACGAGGTGTTGTCGTCGTCATCTTCGAGGGGCGGGAGCTTCAAGAGACCGTTGAAGTGGTTCGCAGACTCGCGGACGAGGACGGCGCGGTGGACGTAGAAGAAGACGGAGTCGAGGGTGAGGAGGAGGACATCGGCGTCGCGAGACTGGCCGCCGGGGAAGATTGGCGCGTTGGGGAAGAAGGTGGTGCTGACGGAAATGACGGTGGAGGGCGCGGGCGACTGGGACTGGGACTGGGGCGGCGATGGCGAAAAGTCGCGCTCAGTGAGGGTGTCCTGATAAGGGAAAGGTCAGAGCTGATGTAAGGCGACGGGGGACGGGGCGCACGGGTGGAGTGAGGAGGGCTTGGAAGTGCTTCTCGGACGTAGACGTGGTGGACATGGCGCAGAGGACAGGTGGGGGCGACTAGTGGTACTTAGCAGATGATGGCCATGGCGTATTTATGGAGGGCTCTCCGCGTCACCTCGTCCTCCGCCGCCAGGGTGTGGCCAGGGTACTGCTGCAGCCAAACCTTTGTGCGTCATTGTCCCCTTGCTTCTTCCTTTTCCAGCCCGTCTTGCCTCCGTTTCAGGAATTACCGCAAACTCTCACAGTCACGCTCTTTCCCTTCCAGGTGCGAACCTGCCTTGTATGGGTGCATATACAGCTCCACTTGTGTACAAGCGTAAGGATCCATCTGCTGCAATCTTTGCCGTTGTTGACACGTGGACCGGTCTAGACCGTGTTCTCTGAGGCTTTCAGGTCCGAACATGCCTTTTGGAGCTGCGGGGCTTGGCCAACGCTCAGCCCAACTCTACAACTGGGATCCCTGGGCGTTTGTCTCCCTTCTCGCCAGGACGTTCCCCACACATCGCACGTTTGCGTACAGTCAAATGGCAGTGATGCATAGGCACTTGATGCTGTCAACGCCGACCGGCGGAAGGAAGCAGAGTAAAACAGCCTATAGATCCCAAACCTAATCTCTTCGGTCATTTCTTCGGCCTTCACCGATGATCGGTGATCGCGTGCGGGCTCTACTACTCAATCTGCATTTCGAACTCAGCGGTCCATGAGGCGCTCCAGACCAGCTACGCCCACCAGAGCCCACCAGCTGGCTCAGCTGTAACCTGCTGTAACACTAACAGAACCCACTGGAAGCTGCCGGAAGTTGCTTTGTGGCTGATTATGGTCGCCTGTAAGTCCGTGTTGTGTAGCTGTGCTTAGGGTTCCAGAGGGCCGGAGCCACAGCAGCATGTGGCTGTGCTGCCCCACATATCGATACTCAACACTTTTTGAGTCCCATCGTGGATATACCACCAAGGCACCATGCATAATGTCCAGGACTATCGTGCCGCTAGGCGCGAGGCACGCTCGCGTCGGCGACCACGACTCCAAGACGGCTCGGTACATCCGGCTCCGTATTAGGTGTATCATCCGGGCGGGTTCTGGCGAACGCCCTTCTCGAAACAACCCCAAATTCTATTTGCATATATACGATGTATAGTGATATTGCTCCTCCATGTTCCATTTGCAATTGAACTCACAGTCACCCGACTCTACCTTTTCACACAGGCACACCCGCATACGCATATCTGTTTGCAATTCTGTCGTGCCACTTCCAACCGAAATGCCTCGAAATATACCCTCGCTACACCCATCGCTCGCTTCGCCGGGGCGAGATAAGAGATCCGACTGCGCTCACCTGACGCTCGCGGTATCTTTGCTTCAATGCTCGATTCGAGCTCGCAGCCGTTTTTCCGCCCCAGCTTCGGCGCTGTGTCTTACATAATCTGGCTAAATCTGCGCTTAGCTTCGGTCTTGGGCCCTTCTGGGGATCTTCAGCGACTCCCCATCGCTCTCACCTCCGAGATTCTATTCAACATCTCACGGTCCGACCCGCACGCGAAATCAGGCGTCACATATAATGGACGGCCTTCGCGTCTCTGTTATCTCTAGCACACGGCGCAGTGCTCGCAGTACCCTTTGCCCCGCGGCCCTCCTCCCACATACGCGACTGTCCATATCAGGACGCATACTCGATCTACGTTCGCAAGGGCAGACGGGGGCCGAGCGACTCTATTCGTGCAAACTGGCTAAATAAAAGCATACATTCGTCAAGTGATAGGACCGACCGGGACTGCAGAGTACTTTGCTTCCAGCCTGTTAAGGTCCCATCCACATTGGATTTCAGATCTGCGCCACCGATTCAAGTCATTCTCTTCGTCGATCGTCCTATTCAGTTGCATCCTAAAACTACGGGTTTCCCAAGCACACGCGCGGAAATTCCAAGTTCAAGTCGCCAGCTTTTAAACTCCTTAGCGCCTCAATTACTTCTACGCAAGATTGCGACCCCTCTTCGCTCTCATTGGTGGCGACCCGCGAGACTTGAAGGGGGGGGGGGGGTCTTCGTCCTCCATAAAGTGTGCACTTCGGTATCTCTTGCCCCCAATCTCTAAAAATATACCCCTCAATCCACAAGCTTAAACCGGATCTTCCACTGGTTAGCAGTCACACCTCTCGATCATTTACATTCACCCATTCATTGGGTGTCTCCGCGTTCCTGCAAATACCAATGAATTCCCAATTTCCTTTATTATCATCCTCAAGCTATGCCTGCTGGACACCTTGGTAGGAATCCGCATGTTGTAAAGCTCGCAAGTCTGGAGGGTTTCTGGCCACGGGGCCGCCTCGCTTGCATACCTGGTTGACAAGGCGTTTGATCCTTTCCTATCATACTGGTGCAGCTCATTCAAATTGACCCATGACAGGGGCGTAGACCAATCGGACAGCTTATTCCAGCAAGTATTTACCTCCTCGCCGTCTTTTGCACAAAGAAAGATTTCAGACAGCAGCAACATCAGGAAAAACGGAGAAACCTAATTAGGGCTTCATTAGCCCTAATCAAAGCCAATCGCCGATAAGGGCAGGTAGGACTGGCTAATGGTCCCTAGTGATGCCTGGAGCCAGGTTCCGCGTCGTGGTTTGATTGCATCCGGCTGGCTGTGGATCTCGGACAGGAGAACACAAGTCCAAAAAACCTGCCCTAAACTGACGCACAGACCCCCGCACGGACCTCTATGGCTGATAGCACTCGGAACCATCCACGGTCGATCATCGTGAGCCATCGCCTACCATTACCTACCACCACCAACCACATTCGGCAACGACGACAAAAGCTTACGCCACGCTCGTGTCTACATCTATCGTTGTATCAGCTACAACATCTCAATCGCCGGAATGTTTATCTTCAAAGTATGAGGCGATGGATGATGTGGACGCTGCACGGATTCCGATTAGCTTTAGTGAAAATTTCTG